ACAATCATTATTTGAAAGACAATTTCGACTATTAAAAATTTAATAAGACTTGAAGGTCTAAAAAAATTTAGTTAGGACTTAATGGAATATGAGAGCATCTTTACCAGTTTACTTAAATTTTATCCTAAAATATTATTAAAAAATTTATTCTCTATTTTGGGAATTACTTTTTTATTTACTTCTCTCAATAAACTTCCTATTTTTTCTCTATTCTATTAAAATAATCTTTTTAATTACTTTTAAATTTAAATATTTTTAATAATAAAATAATGAAAACACATCTAAATCAAACACCAGTCATCAGCAACAAAACCGTAGATGAAAACAAAGAAGGACAGTGGACCAGTCAGGCCAATTTTGGACATTTTTCTTCTTTAGCTACAAGACACTCACGAGACATCCAAGAGGACATTCGGCCGGACAACCCTCTAGTTTTCTTGCGCACCTTCAACGAATAAAATAATAATTTATCAGATATGAGGGAGTGACAGTGACTCCCTACAAATAACAAGTCACTGTAACAACAAAAAATTCCTTATTTTGGCTAAGGAGATAATATAAGGAAAGAGATGGAGATATTCTAAATTCATAAATTATGACTTGTGTGTGGTTTTTTTATTTTGTGTTTTTCTAGATCGAAAGTAAGACAAACTTTGACAACCGAACTACACAGTTGCGTTTTGGGCCGGTTTGGTTTAGTTCAATGAACTTAGTTTGGGCCATTGATATCAACAAAATCAAAGCCCACAAAAATATGAAGGCAGGCAAAGCCGGAATAGAAAATCAAATTTATCACATAATAAGTTTGATCACGATTGTAAGCTAAAATTAGATACATAGATATATAATTAAAAATACAGGACTATACAGGCCCCCTCAGTTTCTCACCCCCACCACCCCCCACACACACGTGAGGGTTGGTGAGTGGGGGAGTAAAAAAAAATATATATATATATATATATGGCAGGCAAAGCCGGAATAGAAAATCAAATTTATCACATAATAAGTTTGATCACGATTGTAAGCTAAAATTAGATACATAGATATATAATTAAAAATATATATATTTGAACTCAATTCAATATAATTGCAAACCAAAATGTCGGGCAAATTATTCAAAAAATTTAGCCAGTGTATAAATGAATTTGAAAAAAAGAAAAAATATATATACAAACTGATGATTTCTTAAAATGAATTTTAAAATTACGAGAACATCGAAGTCATGTTACCCATTTATCTAATAATATAATTAGATACTTATACAAGCACCATGGATGTGTATTGATACTTATATATCTATGCAAGAGTGAAGGAAATAATGACTTATCCTGACTTGTCATTACCATTTTTATGTTATCACAATACATAAAATAATAAATGGTCCATAATATTTACAACTTTATCTTTTTTATTTTTTATTTTTTATTTTTTATCTAAACAAAATGTTTGAATAATATTGACATAATAATTTTATTACAAATAATGAGATCTTGTTCTTTCTCTTTAATTCATGCTCCCTCCGAAACGTAACTTTACAATTTAAATATGTTTTTTTATTATTTATTATTTCTTTATTTTGAGCAAATACATTTTAAAATTTAGCTGACCAGCATCTTCATGTCTTAATTTCATTCAATGATTCCAATATGAAAAACTTTGGTATGCTTTTGGATTATTTTCATACATCATTTTGGCATTTATGTAATACTGTGTTGCCAACACACGAGGACAAAAATGAATGACGCTCCTCCGTATTGCACTCTTGTTTGTTAATTAGTTATCTATCTTTTCATTAATATTTTTTTGCTGGGTTGGTGTTGTTTTTTTCCCGTAAAAATATCAAACCGATTACATAAAATTCAGTAGTCAACTATAAATGAATTATTAAGAGACTTACAGTTCAACAACACAAACTATTTTTAAAGGAAAACTCGAATAAACAATTAGTTCTTACTTCTTGGTAAAAATTAACCCTTAATATATCAGTATATAAGAATGTTTAATAAATTCTTACTTTTTGGTAAAAATTAACTCTTGATATATCAGTAAATAAAAATGACTTAATTGAACAAACTCAATTAGTTAGACCATAATAAGTTACAAATCAGGAATTGTAAAGATATATTACACATGACGAGTCACTATTTATTTACCATCACTAAATAAATTTAGCATTCAAAGGCTGTGGTCACTTGAAGACTTTCGAATCTTAAATTAAGTTGGTATTTTGGACCATCAAGCGTGGAAGAAAAGGAAAAAATAATGGACTTGATCCGTTGACTACTTGATGTAAATAATCAACTAATTTTTTCAACTTCACTATAGTTGTAAATTTGGATTTTTTAATTTGAATAATTATGTCATTGTAATAATGGGGAGAAAAATACTATCTTATTATATCACGTTATTTAGGCCAAGTTTGGCAACTCTAAAATAATTCATCTTTTTATCTTTTTATCTTTTTTTGATCACATCATCTCTCTACTTTTCTGCACATCTTTTCGTAAAAAGACAAAAAGTACACTTATTTAGGTTATCCCAAACAACCCCTTAATTAAGAAGATGATGTGATTATATATATGTCATGTAATTAAAAAAAATAAAATTGGATAGCTTAATTTTTTTTTAAAAAAATTTAAAGTTAGAGGATTGAATTAAAATTAGAGCAAAATTTGATGAACTATTAATAGCTTACTCTTAATTATAAATGCATCCATTATTTTCTTTTTAATTACATCAAATAACAATGGCAATAGAAGTTTATAGTAATTAACTTCATAGTATATTATGTCATGGCATTTTAGCCGAGCTTGGCCTGAGTTCAAATTATATATATATATATTTTAAATATTGTTTAGTCACTATTTAATATTGTTCAAATTATCTGATTATTTTGATTTTTTACATGCTCAAAACATTCTCTCATATTGAGATGACCAACATGAAAGAAGTTTAACCATTCAGATAACAATGTAAATTCAATTGTTTAATTATAAAAGAAAATTGAGGGATTGTTTGGCATCTTTGATATTAGTACATTTTTAAAAAAATCTTTTTTAGAGGCATATCACCTCTATATTTTTTTTAACTTCATTTAATAAAAAGTCAAAAAATATACTTATTTAAATCATCCCAAGCACACTTATGAACAAAGCTCATGGAACTTTTTTGTGTTGTTAAAACAAATAGTGGCTTTTTACAAGTTATAACTACATTACAGATCAAAAAATAAAAAATAAAATTACACATTAATGTATATAAATTTAAAAAGTTAAATCTTAATAGTGTTATACTTATCAAATTTTTAACTATTAAATATGACATAATTCGAGTCGTCAGATATTAACAAATTCATATAAAAGTTGTTACATTAATAACTGTAAATATTTATTATGACATCAATTGATGTTGAGGGACCTTAGACATCATGAAAATAGTTGATGTCCTTTATACTATAAAATCATAATATCAGGGACCTTAAAAAAAATACCCCATTTGTAACAGGCCAAATTATTTGAATCTGTGGATTAAAAATAAAAAATCATGGTCGTAAAATAAAAAATAACAAAATTGAAAGAGGCCACCGTTCTGGCTATCTCACATGCATGTCTGAGTGTCATAAAGTGGGAGAGGAACCCGTGAGAAATACAGGTACGAGTTACCACCTTATTTATGAGTAGGGTTGAGTTTGTCTCAAGTTTGAGGTTAAGGTTGGATCGTTTAGTTTGATTCATGAATTTATTTTTGAGTTTTATTTTGATAATTTAAATCATTTAATATGTAAAATTCGTCAAATATTATATTTTTATAAAAAATCATATTGATCGAATATATATAGTTATTTGATCGGATCGGATTTTTGTCAATTATTTATTTTTTTATTGTTCATTGTTTTTATACAAATCTTTTCCGATCATATAGAATATTTGATAAAATATTTGAGATTCCTAGCATAACTCTAAAAATATATAGAAAATATTCTCAGAATGACATTATTAATTATTTTAAAATAATAATTTTAAAAAATGATTTTTAATTATAAATTATTATTATAACATCACATCATCTTAATAAATATTGTGACTAATTTTTTCTAAAATTTTTATTTTTTATTTTATTGTTTGTCATATAATAATATAGGAAAATATTATAGACTCTAAATATGTTTGATTTTCTCTCTCTATCTCTTCTACTTTTATATTGATAATTATTATTCTGTTTGTTTTTATTTATTCAAATTCTGAATATTGTGTTATATTTAATATTGTGAAATTTTTAATAACCCAATTCACCCCCCCTCTTGGGTTGCCTAACTGGGATAACATTATAGACTCTAAATAATCTATTAAATTTTTTATCAAACTTCACACATGAGTATAGGATCCACACAAATTCACATGTCTATGGATCCCACACCTATGTGAAAGGTTTGATAAAAAATTTAATAAGATATTTAAAATCCCTAACATAACTCAATAATAATATATACACAAAATAATGTGTACTATTACTTTAAAATAAAAAACTTATCAAATTATTTTTCACATTTTTTAATTTATCCCATATTCAATTATATAATTTCAACTTATTTATCTAGTCATTATAAATAAATTTATAATATAAAATTATGAAACTCTAACCTTTCTTTTAAAATTATATACTTCCTTCGTATCAAAATGTTAATTCTTTATTTTATTTTTTATTATCTCAAAATATTAATCTGTCTTCAAAAATCAAGTACAAAAATAAGATCACCCTTCTTATTTTGCCCTTATTTTAAATTCATAAACAATATAAAAAATATAATTATGATATTGATATTCCCTAAAAATATACTATCAAGGATAATTTTAAAAAATTATTTTTTTTAAAATACAATAATTATACTATAAAAAAATTAAATTCCTGAAAAATAACAATTATTTTGGGAGAGAGGGAGTGCATGTGATATTTTTCTTGAGAGTAGAGTTTCCATATGGTTTTGTTATAAATAATACACTTCACCACTTCCATCAACTCCTCCCACCCATCTTTCTCCTCTCTCTAACTACCATATGCAGTGGTCTAGTATGTAGTGAGAGAGAAAAAAAGAAAAAGAAAAGGAAATGGAGGGAGTGTCAGTCACCATGTACAGAGAACTGAAGGGTTACTGGAGGAAGAGAGGCTACGAGCGGCTCAACGGTACCGGTCGTCGGCGAAAAACCCGGGTGGAGCTGGCAAGAGCCGGCGGCGGTTCGAACCGGAGGTGCAGGCGGTTCTGGAAAATCAAAATCAGTCCGAAACTCCGTTTCTCACCCAAGAAATTCCTCATCGGGCTTCGCGACGCCTACGTCAGCTTCATGCTCCGGATTGGCAATTCCCGGGTCATCAGCAGCGGGTTCGGTGGACTCGTGGACGATTCCATGGGCGGGTTCGGAAGGAGACCGGTTAAGGAGTACGATGAGAAGATGATCGTTGAGATATACAAGTCATTGTTGGTGGCGCAGGGTCAATTGGTGCACCGCGATGCACCTAAAATTGGCTCTCATCAGATCGTTTGTCGACAGTAAGAAATGTGAGAAAGTATGTTATTATTACTGCACACAATTTAATAACTCAAATCAATAAATTGTTTTGCTTTCACTTTTCTATTTTATCTTCTTAATAATTAGGAGTTTAATTTGGCTATATTTTACACCTCCATGCTCAATATAGAACAGAACATACTCTCTATTCATGAAATAATAGTGTCTCATTTCTGCAACATAGAATATGTGTTTCTTGTAGGAATGGTATGAGATAATTATAATCATATCACGTAGTTAATGATTTTTATTTTTTTTAAAAAAAATAAGAGATTTAATTTTAAAAATATATCGTTCATTTTTTTACAAATAAATATAGTAAAATCACGTGATTTTAGTTATTAGTTTAATTTTTTTTATTATAAATAATGTACACGCAATAAATCATTAAAATCAATAATACTGAGAAATTAGTCTGACTAAAAGCCAAGAGGAGAGAAGCTGGCTCTCAGTTTTTTTATTTATTTAGTATTTTTGATAATGATGAAAGTTTGATTACGAGCACAAAGTCGAGTGCGGGTGAAAGTCACTTTGCACCCATATTTATTAGTGGTTTGAAATTGTTTCTCTCAATCTCAGTACACGCAATAAATCATTAAAATCAATAATACTGAGAAATTAGTCTGACTAAAAGCCAAGAGGAGAGAAGCTGGCTCTCAGTTTTTTTATTTATTTAGTATTTTTGATAATGATGAAAGTTTGATTACGAGCACAAAGTCGAGTGCGGGTGAAAGTCACTTTGCACCCATATTTATTAGTGGTTTGTGAAATTGTTTCGCAATCTCACTCGTCATGATTAATTTCGTAAAGAAAATAATATATTAATTAATAAATTTTATTTTCGATTTTTATTTTTTACATGTATCTAAAATGTAAAATATATGTGAAGAAATAAAATAAAAAAATTGACTAAAATAAAAAGTTTCAAATTTTCTATTATATATATATATATATAATTTATCTTTAGTGATTTTTTTTCTTCATATTTTAGTCTCTTTTTTTTTTTTTTAAACTTTTTAGATACTGCATCTAAAATTTACAATATTTTACTAAAATAAAAAACCACTCAAAACAAAAAATACAAAAAGAATTAAAAAAAAAAAAATCAAAGCAAGCATAGCTCATGTGCAATACCATAAAATTGTGTCCCAAATTTTATTTCAAAAATAAAGTGAATGGTATAAATTTAAAATTTGTAGGATGTGAACTAATGTGATTCCTTCCTTAATTTAAAGGGTAGAGCCAAACTCTAATAAAATGTAGCTTAGTTCCCATAGTCTATATATGCATATTGCAAACAATTTAGTACAATTTTGCTACATCTAATCTAACATCATATAAAATATCAGGACAATGTTTCGAGATCACTCTCTTGCCCGCCAAACTTCTGGTAGAGTTACAAACCTAACACCACTCCAACCCACCTCACTCAAACGAAATTTAAATTGTTCATTGTTATTTTAAAGTAATTCTCATGATTTGAAATCATTTGCGCAGCTGCAAAAGTTAACATGTGTTTTGTTTTAGGGGTACACTAGGGTTGGTTTGGGATGTCCTAAAAAAGTGTACTTTTTGACTTATTGGTGGGTTTGGGTTGGGTTTGATGTGATGTGTTAGAGAGGTGATGTGATTTAAATAAGATGATGTGACTTAAATAAGATAGTGACTTTTTGACTTATTTAGTACATGCCAAACTAGCCCTTAATAAATTACTTATTCAACACATTTAAAAATTAAAACATGTTGTTGATGTAATATATGTAATAAATTTAACTTGTGTCAAAAAACAACCGCTGAAGTCCTTATAAGTACAGTTACTAATCTCTTAGTTTTTGTTGCAAGATGATATAAACAAAAGAAATTTCGAAAATTTACAGCTTGCGAATAGCATAAGAATATGAAAAAAAGCTACGGCGCAACTACACCATAATTATTTGTAACAAAATTATTGTAAAATTTGATGTATATTATTGATTGATTGATAGATTGTTGTGTATATATTTGTATGTTACAAGCTATTAAATAGGAGAGGTGTGAGGAGAGGTGTGAGGTAAGTGAGTGGTGGTAGTGGATGGTAGTGGAGGTGGTGGGTGGTAGTGGAGATGGTAAGTGTGTTATGAGTTGAGCTAAAATGCCTAATCACATGCCTAGTGCATTGGAGTTGAAAAAAGTGAGTCATATTAGGCATTTTACCTAACAAGCATTATATGCCTAGTGCGTTGAAGATGCTCTAACACCACTCCAACCCACCTCACTCAAACGAAATTTAAATTGTTCATTGTTATTTTAAAGTAATTCTCATGATTTGAAATCATTTGCGCAGCTGCAAAAGTTAACATGTGTTTTTTTGTAGGGGTACACTTAATAAATTACTTATTCAACACATTTAAAAATTAAAACATATGTTGTTGATGTAATATATGTAATAAATTTAACTTGTGTCAAAAAACAACCGTTGAAGTCCTTATGGTCATGTTTGATTCATAAGATTAATAGTGAAGTATTAATAATCCTATTAAATTAGTGTGGTATTCACTATCCAATTGGATTAATATCCATTGGATTAATAATCCCACCCCTACCCCATTACTAATAATCCTACAAATTTGTTGGATTAATTATCTATTAGATTAATAATCCTAAACCAAAATGTTAAAACAAACATAGGATAATTAGGCCCACGGATTAATAATCCTAATCCCATGCTCTAATCCACCCAATCAAACATGCCCTATAAGTACAGTTACTAATCTCTTAGTTTTTGTTGCAAGATGATATAAACAAAAGAAAATTTCGAAAATTTACAGCTTGCGAATAGCATAAGAATATGAAAAAAAGCTACGGCGCAACTACACCATAATTATTTGTAACAAAATTATAATAATGACTTATAATTTTAATGCTGGTATGCTTTAAAATTTATTCAAATGAGATACTAATTTGAGTAGTGGAACAACCATACTCTCTTTTTTTCAATTCAAGCATGCCATTGCCAATATTGTTTGCATTCTTACAGATTTGATTTGCCCTAACTTTGCTACTGCCCACATGTGAGATTTGGGCAGTCTAGTTTGTAAGAGAAAAACTAGAAGAGACAACGAAAATATTATATCAAAAATTGTCATCAAGCTTTGTTTTTTTTTTTTCATTAGTATTATTTGGTTTTTTTTGTAAAGTGAGGTAAGTCCCACTCAACTTGTATTTTGGTGATAATTTTCGTGACATGTAGAAGAGCTGGAAAAATAATAATCCAGTGTCCACAAATTGATATGGGCCTTTAACATCAGAAGCCTGGCCATCTAAAATCTTTCCATTTATGAAAAAAAAAAATTGTAAAATGTTGGATGTAGCTTGTTGCTTGCTTGACTAGTCTACATAGTGTTCAAGGGATGACAAGGTCCTTAATTAATAAATGGGCTAGCAGATCAGATCTGTTCATGCTACATTTTAGGGCCCAGCCTTCGACTTGGGCTTCATGGTTCTCTAATGGACCCCTTTAGAAAGCTTAAAGATACCGTCTCCTCTTAGCGGACAGGTCTGGTGATGTAGACCCAAAGATACAAAGCCGAAAACAAAAACACTGATTATGTATGGTTGATCACTAACCAAACAAATAAACACCACCGTTGCATATCACTCAAATATTTTATCAAAGTGCTTCAACTCCTATGTCATTTCTTAAATTTATAAAATATAATAAAATTTTACATATTTATTCATACGCAATTTCTTTTTTTGGTAATTTAAATTTTTTAACACTAAAAAAATAGTACAAACAATTCGTAACGAGATTTCAAACAGAAAAAAACTAAACTAGAAAACACATGGTAAAACACTACCCACCCAGTTACCAAAGAAAATTTGCATAATTACTGAAACAATCTAGAAAAAAATGTTCCAAGATGAGCACATGTGACGGTTCTCCAAAGAATATTCATAAGCAATTTATTAATTATATGCCTATACACAAGAGGTAAAATAAAATGTTGAAATATATCATGTAAATTGTTATATTTATAAAAACAATAAACACAATTTTGACCCCCCATCCATGCCTTTAGCTTCTATTGAATTTATCTCAAAATTCCATAATGATCAATTCAAAATAAGACTGCTACTACGAATGGATGCATTGCATGGGTTCGATTTGTATGAAATTCAATGGAAAATTTCTTTTTCCCTTCTTCTCTACAAATGCTTTCAAAATTTTAATAGCTAAACACAGTCTAAGAGTTCGACAATCTCAAGTCCTTCAGTTCAAGTACGGAGATCCTCTTCGCATATCGGCTCCTCCCTCCTCCTTTGATCAAAGAATATACTTTTATATATATACACATCAAAGAAAATGAGAGGTTTTTCTGTAACAGGATGACTTCACACTTAAGAAAAGAAAAGTAAATTTTTCAAAATTATAAAACAATGGTGATAAAATAAAAATATAAAATTATGAGTGGATTTAACTTCACTGTGCATATCTCCAGTTTCAACTAAATGATTTATAAATTTTGTCAACTCGACGTGCCACTTACGGATGATGCAACTTTATAATTATTAAGAAAAAAAGTAAGAGATTAAGAATGTTACTGTCAAAAGACTTGAAAGATAAAATAAGGCTTTTCCTTCGTTTACAAGAATATATTGTAGTAAATTATTTGTGATGCTTTTTGGAATCACTTTCAAATCATACTTCTTTAGTGCAAATCTTACTCTGTCATGATATTAGTGATTATTTATGCATGCATTTACGTTATTATGTTTTCCATGCCTATGTGTATCTGCTAGGGAGGGGAAAAAAAAAAAACTGAAAAAATCAATTAAATTGATTAAACTAAACCAAACCAGTTATATTTGATTTGCTTTTTAATAATAATTGATCTGCGGCTTTTTAATTTTATTTTTTTTTCAATTTTTAGTTCAATATTATTGGCTTATTTTTCCTACGATGGAAAATATCATAAATGCGAGTGTGCTAGTAAAGATTGAAAAATTCTTATAGATTAAATTCAAGCTAATTATCAAGAAATTATGTTGACAATTTTTTTTGTCTCAATAAGGACTTCCAAATTACCAAGTGTAGAGAAAAGAAAAATTAAAA